TTTAAATATAAATAATTTTAATCGGAATTCACCACAAAAAAAAAAAGAATGGAATGGAAAGAAATGTTGAAATGACATATTTTTTAATTGAACACAAAAAGAAAAACCGGAGCGAAAATGTTTGGTTTAAAGCTCTATATAGTGTCCTTTACTTATGCATTACAGTGGATATACTCCTTTCCGCTACGTTTACTTACAGAGACTGCTTTCTTGAATAACTTTTTTGCTAAAAGAACATTCTTCATTCGAATGGATGGAAATCTAAGTATCTTGCTCGCTCTGAGCTATCTGAGTACCTCGAACATTTTCAGGTGGTTCGAATATTTTTAAACAGTACATTCCATTTCCTTGAACATAATAATGCTCAAAAAATTTTGAAGGACTATAATATGCATTTTGGAAAAAAACGAAACTAGTAACGCAGAATCTTCAAGACAACCAAAACTTTGCACTGCCCTAAATGTTGGATTTATGTCTTATTAAATTATATTATATTTTATATTTTTAATAATTTTTTTTAATAAAAATTTTAATTTTAATTTTTGTAGATTTGTAACAAAGTTTATTTCCAATGCTGAGTGTATATGGCAAATTATGCTGATGTCACTAGGTTAAGATATCAGGCGAGATTAATAGTATTTAACCTCATGTAAAACATTACACGAATTAATTACTTAATTTGTAAAAACATAATTATAATAATAACAGAAAAAAAAATTAAATGGAGCTAAAAGGGTAAAAGAAAAGATCATATATCATATAAAAGTACAAGTGAAGGTTTATGTGTTCAGATCATATAAGTTGCGTTAGAGTAATTTACCTCCGAGGAGAATTTGATTTGAATAATTTTACATAATATAAATTGTATAATTGGTAATTTAAAATAATTATACATGCACAAAAAAAATATATACGCTTGATTGAATTCTCATAAATTAATAACTGCCTACTTATATTTATAGTTTTTATATAATGATTAAAAATTTTTTTATCCAATTGCAAATTAAAAATGTTAAGTACATTTCGTTAAACTTCACTAATAAACTGCGATCAACATATGGAACAGTCGAGCTTATTCTAATAATGATAATACTTTTCGAAGTAACTGCATTCATGAAAATCAGAGATACACTGAATTTTTGCAATTATAATTATTATAATAGACAAGCTTTTAAGGCGATATATACTATAAATTTGTTTTCATAAGAAATATTTATTCAAATTACAAGAATAGCAAGTGTATATTATTTAATTCTGGTATATAGCACAAAAAAACGCATTAGAATAAGTCTGCACAACAAGATTCGGGACTAAACTGTTCTATTCTATTATATTTAAACTAAACTATTCTGGACTAAAAAATTATTCAGGACAGCCGCGCCATTGTCCAGAACGAATTGGAAAAACTACGATATTTCGAAATATGGTAGTCTTTTTTTAGTTTATTGTGTTCCTTAGTCGGATTAGAGTATTTCTCCAAGTCCGATTTGAATTGTTTATTAAAAGACAGTATATAGCATATCTTTCCTAGGCTTGAATTGTTATGATTCATGAAATACTCTCCTAGGTGTTTCTTCCGCTTGTGCATCAGTTCCTGGCAGTCTCCAAGCATATGGTATGCAGTTTTTCTCTCTTCTCTACAGTACCTGCAGTTTGAGTTGGATTCAGTTTCTAATTTTATTAGGTGATTATTCAATCTATAGTGACAAGTTAATAATCCCGCTATAATACTTAGGTTATTCTTCGATTGTTTTGTGCAATCATTGAAGCGTATTAGGTTGTAAGTCTCTAAAAGCATTTTAGATTATGATCTTCTGCAGCGTTCATAAGAATGGATAGAGTATATTTGTCTAGACAGCAGCAAGGTTTTAGGCCTAACATTATTGAAGCCGCTCCTCTTCTTGCAAGTTTGTCTGCCATTTTATTGCCTTGGATACTAGTATGCCTCGGAATTTATATTAAATACACCTGATTGTTCCAGCCGAGTATGTTCAGCTTGTCAATGCACTCCCATACTAGCGCATCTATCTACCGCATATATTTGCGTTGAAATATGGTTAATTTCGTTCCAGTGCTTTCCAGTATCTTTTGTCTAGTGCATACACTATATACATATAACTATGTTAATATTACATATTTTATATAATATATTATTCACATTTTAATAAGCGTTTAGACTTTTTTATATATAATATATCAATCACTAGTTTGAGTACTTGCCTCTTTATTACTACAAATAAACCAATAAAAACTAGGATTAATTTGTATATAAAAATAAGTTACAATCGTTAACTTTAAGACCTATCCATTATTTAACGGATAGGTCTTAAATAAATATATCGAATTGACATATCGAATTGATCGGTCATCCATCGTACAGTCCTGATTTTTTCACTGCACCCAATGACTTCTTCTCGTTCCCGAACGTTAAGAATAAATTACGAGGACAACGATTTTTGTGGACGAAACAATGAAGCCGTTGTTGCATTTAAAAAGGATGTTTTGGAGGTGTCAGAAGAAGACTGGAAAATATGCTTTGACAAATCGTTCTAACACATGCTAAAGTGTATTAGCCATAAAGGAGAATATTTCGAGAAAGAATAAAGCAATTTTCAACGACAATTTAGTTAGTTATTTTTTTCATTATTAGGCTTAAAATATAAATAGTGACCCTCGTACAAAAACCTGAACTATTGTTTTGCAGTACATAATATGTCATCTATTTTATTATTCTACTGCTCATACGAACTTGAACCTAGATGGGTAGCGGACGGTAACAAATATAATTTTAGATTCAAATTACTTTCAATTATTGAAGGAGTCACACTTTTTTTGTATAGAACAATTTATTTCATTTAAAATCGATTAATAAATTTTCCTTTTCTCCTCCTTGTCTTGACATTGATTTCTGTTTACTAGGTTTCTGATGAACTGAAGTAACTCTATGACGGAATATAACAACAAAAACTACAACTCAGTCAACAATTCAGTCAATAATTAAACCTATTATTTCTAAATATATTTTCGGTAAATTTAATCGGTTGAATGCGTGCGTAAGTTTTTGCCGGTCTTGTGGTCTTATGATTTTATGGCCTTATGATCATTTCAATCAGGTTTTCCTGAAATTAGTATCCAATAACAGTTATACTTTTCAATTTTAACTGAAGGTTTGGTTATTTATCTTTAGGTTAAGTTTTGCCAATAAACTAATTTTATTATACTTTGAGATCTGGAAATGATCTACAGTTTATTTTATCATCAATAAACTGTAGAGCTCTCCAGAATTAAACCTTACTTTAAATATGTATATCTCGACTCGATATATAATACCGAGACTAACATTTCTACACTATTTGGTTCCCACTCCAAAATATGTCTAACTTTACCTAACGTGTGGTGTACGACGTTGTGTATTTCTGTTTATTCAATATACCATCATTTTTTATATTCTTTAGAATGTTAGTCTTCTTTTCTTTGCATGATGAAACTCGAGTTAGTGTCTCTAGCACTCTAACTCAATAGTGTCAACAGTGACCACTTCCATGTTCCACTGTAGTAAGAGCTCATATTTGTATTCTATTACTTATTCAAATTTACAGAAGTATAGTTTGAAACCTAGCGCATCTTCTTGACGGAATATATATTGCAATTAATATGAGAGAGTACAATTCTGAATAATTGTGCACATTCATAAGATCGTACACTTTCGACTATAAAGTTTTTGTAAATAATTTTATTGCTGATGTACCATGGAGCTTCTGCCATACATCTTAGCATATATCTCAGTGATATGTGTGCTTTGAACGATATCAACAATTAAGTGAAACAAAAAAATGTTGGCGTGTGCGTCGAAGTTTCCATATCCTTCAGTAATCCAACAGAAATCCTATGCAAAAATAATAAAAAAAATTTTTCTGTGAAATGTACTAGCACTTTTTTTCGAATATTATCTTATATGGATTCTGTCTAATATAGGTGATGCATCTGGATTTAAATAAAGTCTTTGTGCAAACTGAGAGGTTCGTTTGCGAATATATAAAACAACAGATCGGTATATAGATAGAAACATGAGAATTATTGATTATGATGCAAAATACGATTTGACTAAAATTGACTAAAGTGAATTATGTTTTTCCTAGAGATTTTTTACAATGGACTTATTTAGCTGAAACGTCAAATAAGTCCATTGCTTTTAAAATTCCTAACGGCTAACGTCAGCTGTAAATATATTTTCTTTTATTTGTTTTTTGCTTTCAATAGATTTGATACTGGAATTTTACTTTTCTAACATAAATATTGAGAGATAAGTTTACGTTGAAACTGATATACAGACGGACATTGCTTGATTGATACACCTCATCAAAATAATTAAGAGTATTTAGACTCTATAGGATCTATGTTGTATGCTTCACTGCCTTCCAGGTTCGTGTTAAAGATTGGGAGATAAGTTTGCGTTGAAACAGATAGCGAAGTTGACATCTATGCAGTTCCACGGACTCATATCAAATATATATATATACATATATCTTGGAGAATTTTACAAGACATCTTTCACTGCGTGATAATGTGATAATATAACCTTTTCCAATTATATTCATATCACTCGAACTCATATCAAATATATATACAAATAATACATATATCTTGGAGGGTCTTAAAGATACCTTTCATTGCGTGATAAGAAGATAAAGCAAAAAAATAAATAAATAAAATGCGAAAAATAAAAACGTTTCGAACATAGCAAAACAAAAAAAAAACAAATACAGAAGGATAAGTGTGGTGAGGAAGGAATGAATAAGCGCAATTATTTTAGCTTCACAATCACTTTATTTTTATAAAATAAATATGACCAAACCTATTTTTAATTAAATTTATAATAAATGTAAATGAAACGTCAGTCAAAACATTAGTAAATCACTTTCCACCAACAATTTTCTTTATATAAGATTTTCACCACTCCTTTTCTTTCATTCAACCCCAAAAACCATGTGCTTGCTCACCTGTTTTGTTACTTCAGCTGTCTTCCTCGCCCTCGCTTACGTCCACTTCTACTTCCACGTCCTCGTCCTCGTCGTCGTTGTTGTAGTTGTGCTGGCGTGTTGTTGTTGTGTTCGTTTTGTTTGCTTTTCGTTGTGCTTTCCTCTTGTGTAAATAATTACAATTTTCCTTATAAATTTAAAAAGTCCTGCGGTGAGAAATCAATTTTATTCTTATTATTACATGGAAATTTATAATTGCACAATATACGAGAAGCAAGCAAGTAAAATTTGCATATAAATTTTTAATCAGAAAATTGAATTTTCACACGCTACTGTATAGTTTTTTTTTATTGTTATCATAATTGTTTTAAGTGACATTTTAATTCATTTCAATATTAAAGTGATTAAATGATATTATTTATATATTGAATTTAATGTTGATTTTTTTTTTACTTGAAATGCTTAAGTATTTTTAAGTTTATTTATTTTTATTTTTAAGAAATCTAGTGTATTTTCTTGAAATTTTTTTTTGTTTACGCACTTTTTTTTTTAATGCACAATTAAATATTTATTAAAAGGCAGGCACTAGTTTTATTGATAAATTTAAGTGTTGGTAATTTTTTAATTAATGCTTAACTCTTAATGACACTTGAGTATAAAAACTAAATTAACTTCATTCTAAAATTCTGTTTAATTATTTGCATTTCAAAGTGTTTATATAGTTAGTTATATATAAATATCTTTAAGTATAATGCCTACCGGAAAAACGCAAAAAAAAAATCTTTATTAAATTCTTACAACAACAACGACAACAACATCCATTGCACGCAAACGTACAATATTAACTGCCGCAGAATATTTATTGTCTGCTGTTATTTGTTGAATGAACGAACGAACGAACGAATAACACAGAAGAGAAATTCAACACTAAGCAATATTTTGCATCTGTGTTTAAAGCTCAATAATTGAATTCAATTTCATATTTTGACAACAACAATAACAACAATAACAAAAACAATAACAACAACAATAACAACAACAATAATAATAACAACAATAATAATAGCAATAGCAACGGCAACGGCAATAACAAAAATTAATAAAGGAATATTGCCACTGACAACAACAACAACAACAACAACATGAACAACATTGGTACAATAATCCCACTTAATTAAATCTGGTTGAATTTAAAATTACTGAGAGTTTTCTATGCTCTAGTTGAACTCATCTCCTCTCGTGCTTTATTGCTCCCTTGCTAAAAGTGAATTTTGTAAAAAGCTTTTTGTGTGCGGTGCGAGATTGAAACTAAAATGAATGCATCAATTAAATAACAATATTTGAAAATATTTTTTAATGTTTAACAACGAAGTTCAACGGTTTTTATTAATTTAAAGTTTTAAAAGAAAAATTAATTGTAAACGCAGTAATTTTGTTTTATTTTATTTTTAAAAATAAAATAAATAGTTACAACTTTTAAATAGCTTCAGTTAAAAAGCTTTTTTGAAAGTTCATTTATTTTGACTTTTTAAAAGCTTTTGAAGTGAGCATTGCATTAGTTGAGAAGCTTTAAATGAAATTGCAACAACGGCTGTCATTTGGTTTGCTTGAAATTTGAAATTTAAAACAGTTTTTAATTTAATAAAATAGAAAAGTTGAAAAGCTCTCACTTAAAGTTGAATGAGTTTCAGCATTTCATTGCCGTCACATTAAGGATTTCGAATAATGTCAAATAATTTATATACATTTTATATAGTAAGTGCTTTCGGCAGATTTCACGTGAGGCAAAAAACAGCAGGTTGCTCGCTAAAATTTGCTTAAATGCACTCAAAACAACAATACAAATCCAAGATTCTTTTATAATTTAATACTAGGTAGATCAGCTGATCATAATGCCATATTAATATGTGTATATGTGAGTAGTTCCCTTATAATAAATTTCACTGCTTCATGTTAAAAGTTATTGTAGATTGAAATTTTTTAAAAATCGTTATTATTTATAACTTCATTATAATAAGTTTTTTTCCAGATTTGTACAAAGATTTATACCAGTTAAGGTAAAGTATTTTACAATCAACTACTAGGAAACCATTTTCTTCCATTCGTTCTAAAAATGTGGGTATAAAGTTGTTTCTGATTCTGGTGGGCCTATCAGAGAAATAGTCTAATTAAAAGTGGATTAAGTTTAAACAGCCAATAAATGTTAAGATAATCCAAATCAATAACGAAACGATTTTAATATATGTAATTTATATACGATGTGTGCAAAGTTTTTTTTGAAGAAATAAATCCGAGTAAATTGAGTAACGAGTGGTGTAAACGCATTTTATATTATGACCTACAAAACAGATTTTGTTCAAAAAAAAATAATTTGTTGATTGAAATGGATAACACTGAAATTATAAGCTACTACTGCTTCATCAAACGATTGATTTGAAGCTATATTATTAACAATGGTTAAAAATATAGTATGCTTAAAGTGAGACATAAAAATAAGAAGGTCGAGATTGATTGAAAGGAATGGATTGTGTGTTTGCCACAGACACATTTGAATAGGAAGTCTTGATTTATTTATTGTAGTACAGTACTGGTATTGCAGTTCAACATTAGACGTAATTTTTTCTTCTAGAGTAGCAAAAAAATACTCGCAACCTACGAAAGAAAACATGTGAAGCAACAACAATGCTTTTAAAATCTTCAGAGTTAGATTTTACTTGCAAAAAATTCATGTCTTAAGTTTCAGTGCAGTTAAATTCAAAAATCAATCTATTGTGATATTCACTGGATATATTTTGTAAAATTCCAGTTATCCGTTGAAATCATATGAGTATTTAATTTACTAATAAACTTAAATACATCAATAAATAAATTAATAAAATGTAATGTAAGAAAGTATATAAGATAAAAAGGCTTAACATTGCCGTTCTAATATTCATTTTGGTGTCCTTTATTTAAATTGAATAATTTTTAGTGTTTACAATTTTTATATTTCATATTGTACATAATACAACCAAGAACATGTCAAAAAAAAGCATTAAACATATTGTAAAAGTAATGCCAATTTGTTTCAACCAGACTTCATGTTGTTTTTTTACAACTCTGAAAGAAAAAATTATGGCTATTATCATGTATTCTGATATCTACCAAACTTTATTATTGGTGTAGAATTTAAAATGCGAAAGAGGGCTATGAAAGACTCCTTCATTAATTCAAGAAGAATTGAAGTTAAAAATCCACTTCAATTATATTAATAAAATTGTTTTGAAATCCACAAAATATTGTTTAATTGTAATATTGTTTAAATAATTGTCGAAGGTTCAAGCTTAACCTAATATACACATTATTGCTCAGCTCGACAAAACGGGTAATTCTACCAATAAAATTATTAATATTTAATAGATATATTTAAATTAATTAAAATAATATAAAATACATTTTTGTTGTTGTAGTTCACTACTGTTCGAAAAACCTCTTTTTATATTTCTGAAATCGTTCAAGGAAGTTGTGTGAAGATCAATTTATCTTTCTTAAAACCATTTAATTGCTCTTATCATTGTGCTATGCTTTCAACTTAGATTTCTTTTAGTGACAATTTTTTATTGTACTTTACTCTTTTAGATGTGATATTAATCGGCTTTCTACCTGCAAAACAATTGCGCTGGCATATATGTATTTATATATAATGAATGTGTCATATGTTCCATATGCTTTCGGTAATCTTCTCGAAGTATAAACAAACTGAAATTCATGCAGACTCATCATAATGTGTCTCAGAGCCAAGACTAAATCCAAAATATATAAAAAATTGTTAAATAAAATTAATATTAAATTGAACTTAAATACATTACACACCTACATAGCAATTTGTAAATATATTATCAATGGCAAGTCTATATTCTCATCGTATGTTATAATTATTCTATATTTTTTTTATATTTTTGCCTGTACTATGGCTGATGATAAGCGCTGATAAGAGTACACTGACAAATCTGTAATTTGTGGCTTTGTTAGCTAACAGCCTGGCGTACATATATGCTTTATTTAAGTATGTAGTGCTTTCCCATTGTTGTATTTGCTGTTGTAGCAGCAACTCAAAGACTTTCGTTCATTAATGCTTGAGTCTTATCAACACGAAACTATCGCTACGATTTGTCATTCTCACTGTGGAATGCATACGCCATAACGAATTGGCACAGACCTCGTTATGTTAAATGGGTTTTCGCTTTACTTGGCATTTATTGAATTCATTTATTGAGGTGTGAAAACAATTTCCATTGCAATTATTTCATGAGCTCAAAATTATTTCAAGTGAATCGTTTACAGTTTCGTAATATTCGTTTTATTGATTTTATAGTATGACTTTCAGATGTCATCGCACGTTCAAAATAGAAATGCAATTATGTGAAGTAGTTTTTTAATTCTAAATTCTAAACGCTTATATTGAAGACAATAAAAGCATTATTAATATTTACAATATTGCGATAAGAGCGTGAAAGGTACAGCGGAAGGGTAAACAAAGCAGTAAGATGAATAATAGGTCTGTTCCATGAGCTATTCGTAGTAAGTTTAAGTAACACTGTATATACATAAGGGAGTTCCACCAGCAAATTTTCGTGTATTCTCGTGTAAATTTGACTTGTGTTTTACTTTAGTCCGACTGACTGTTACTTAAATCGCCTACAACTGTGTCTTGCTATATAGCCAAACTGTAACTAAGGCGTTAAACTTTTGGAAATTTTCGTGTTCCTTTTTCATGTTAAGCTAGTCAGTTAGTTTCAATTAAAGCAGCGCTGGTTTTTACCACACACCCTGATTGAATTATTCTTCTATAACATCCTTCTATATTAAGGATGTTTCTCAAGCAGATTAGTTTGCATACTTCTATAGTGTAATAATTTGATCTTGCAAAACATAATAAATTTGAGTATTTTATTATTTTATTGTGAGATTCAATAAACTTGCGTTTAACTTATCAACACATTAAACAAAGTCTATACAGAGAAAGCTTTCTAAAGTGGACCCCAATAGAAATAGCAATTACCTTTGCATAAGAAAACTGGTGTTCTCTCGTGTTGAAGGAAAAAACTGGGGTTAAGAGAGATACTCGTTTAAGTGTGCGTTAGTTTAATACAGCCTCGATAGAAATAGCAATTATCTCTGGATAAGAAAACTGGTATTCTCTCGTGTTGAAGGATAAAAAATGGGGTTAAGAGAGATACTCGTCAGTTCAATATAGTCTTCACTGTATATACATTTTATAATTATAGAAAAAAAAATTAAAATTTATTTTTAAAAATCCTTTGTACTGTAACAACTCTAACTAAACAGAAAGTTTCTCAGTTCCCAAATAAAGGACAGAAAATCTTTCGTTAAACAGTTCCGAATTATAGAAAAGATCAAGCGTTATCACCTCACTATTTTCTTGATATAGAGTATAGCCGGTCAATCACAGGGTTGTCGAAATTGCATTAATGGGACTGGAGCAGTTTTTATATTTCTTACTAGTCAAAGTGTGTTGCTATTTAATATTGAATATATGATATTATCAAAGTATAAATCAATGCTAAAAACTTAAGGTAACATAAATACTGATGGCGCAACATTTCTTATAGGTAGGTGTATATCATTTATCTGCTAATAATACTCATATCTAAAAATGTTCTTTAGATTGTGATGTAACATATTGTTTATAATGAGCTCGCAATAATATAATAACCAATTCTCATATTTTCGTATAATACTTGACGGTGTCGTTTTAAGTTCCATATTTAATAGTAATTTTCGGACCTGATAAGATTTCAGAGCTTATAAAGGCGTTCATTATAAAAACATTTGCACTGTACTTTCATTTCACTAGATTTCACAGCTTTCACTACATAACTCTCCAATGATCTTATCAATAAAACGACTATACAGTGATATCAGCAAAGACAGATTTAAAACAACCAAAAATAATCCACGAAAATTTAGTAACTCTACCATCAATTCAATCTAAAAACGACATAAATGAAGTTGTTTCCCCGCTCAATACCACTATCTCCACTAGCAACATCTCAGACCACAGTAACTAAACTTATAAAAATACGAGATGTCACATTCCAATCCGACATCGATGTGCTTGTCTCAGCTAAGCGCAGTGCAAGGCAGAACTAGCAAACTCATCGATCTCTAGAGTCAAAACAATAATTTCTAGAAGCAACTAAAGCATTTAAGGACGCATTATCTGCGAGCAAAAACCATTCATTGCAAAATTACCTTAAAAATATTGGTCCTCTCAAGGAAAACAACTACAGACTATGGAAAACAGCTCAAAAATTCAAAACCAAAGTACAAAGGAACCTCCCTTTAGAAAACTGGACAAAACATGATCGAAAAGCGACGAGGAGAAGCGAATCCTCATGGCTGAACATTTGTAGACAGTCTTTCAGTCGAATCCGAAAGAAAATAACTATCAGCTTTATGTCCAGTTCTCTTCAAGAGTTATTGAATTCCCCCCAAAGTACGTTTTCTTAAAGTGAAGGAAGCTTCCATTGAAAACACATGAGAAAATAAGACACCAAGAATAGATGTAACCACTGGCGAAATTTTTAAGAAACTTCCTGATAAAGCCATTTTGATCATTACTGTCATCTGGAACGCAGTTTTGTCGTTTGGCTACTTTTTCAAGTAGTGGAAAACATCTACAATCACAATGATCCCCAAGCGCGGGAAAGATCCCACTGCAGTCACATCTTATAGACCGACCAATAAGTCTGCTCTAGTAGCTTTCAAAAATTTGTGAGAAGATAGTTATCTCAAAGACTATCAACTTCACACAAAGTCGAAACATCATACTGAAAAAAAGCACATGGCACAACAGATCAAGTACACAGAATAGCAAAAGGAATTATGTACGGTTTTCAAGATAAGAAATACTGTGCAGGTGTTTTCTTAGACGTAACTCAGGCCTTTAACAAAATCTGGCATGAAGGCTTTTTATACAATATCAAAAAGTCCTTCCCGGCAAACGTAAATAAACTTCTAAACATTTACTTTACTAACCGTAGATTTAAGGTTAAACATAACTCATTTAATACCAGTGAGTATGAAATTGCTGCTAGAGTTTTTCAGGAAAATGTCTCTGGATCACTCCTTTCTCTAATCTACAGCGAAGATCTCTCATTGTATAGAGACCATCTGGTCTCAACTTTTGCAACTGATATTGTCATTCTCCGCTTAGAAAAAGATCTTTTAGTTCTCAGCCACCACATGTCAACTCATTTTAATCTTCTTGAAACCTGGCTAGCTAAATGGCTAGTACATATAACATTCCTTCTACGAAAAGACACTCTTCCTCCAATTAATATAACAATGTTCGTATTCCTCAATGCAATGGAGTGAAATATTTAGGCGTTTATCTTGATAGAAGTTTAATATGGTCAAAACACTTTGACAACACATTGGCGGATGAGTGCCAAGTCTGCACTCAGCCTCGAAAACAAAGTATTGCTGTTGTATAATGCCATCATAAAACTAATCAGGGTAAATGGTGTAGAGCTTGGGGAACGACGTGCTATTTGTATATATAAAAACTGCAAAGATTACAAAACAAAATCACCAGGCAGATTGTAAAAGCCCGTGGTATATGTAGAACTCCATTATTCAAAGGGATGTCCGTATATCCAAGATATCTGATGTCATTCAAACTCAAATTGCGAAGTATTGTTTAAAACTAAATACACAATCAAATATCGAAGCCAGACAACTGCTTATCATCAACTCGGCATTTCGTTTTAGTAAGAAACAGCTGCTTAACTCGTAACAAATTTGTAATATAAACTACCGTTTCTTTGATTAACACCTTAAAGCATTCTCTAGTTACATATTAAACGCCAAGTTTTTAAGATTTCATATTACTTAATGTTAATTTCATTTAAAAAGATTCAATAAAGCAAATAATTGGAAAAAAAATATGGACTTTCAGCTATATGAATACCCAGGTCTCTGGTTCAAGATTTTTGAGCGCTTCAAGATTTTCTCTATTGGTTTTTATATTAATGCTGAAGTCTCCCTATATCTCCGTTTGATATACACTTACATACACAAAAGACCCAAGTACATGCGATTTGTTATATATACGATTTGATATATACAGTTCATAGCTGAAATCATTTTTGAAAATTTCACAGCAGAATTTATGCAATAATTTTACTTAAAAATTGTTTGTTTACAAATGAACTTTGTTTACCCACTTATAAATATTTCAAAAAGGAAGGAGTGTATTTCCGTAACATTTGTATTACATTATACCCAATTGAAACGAAAACCACATAAAAAAAAATAAAACCAAAAAATAATTAACTTTGGTTTGGTCAATAGTTAACTTTAATACTTTACACACAGATAGTTTTGCTTTAAAGCAATCGAACAATAGTGTCTATATTTTTGGAATTGGATACATTTTGTCTGGCCGCCACATATTCAAGTTTGATCTGCCGGGACACACCATAGGTGCAAAGTTTTATGCAAAGAGCTGTGTTGTTGTTGTAGCCCGGAGTGAACTGCTGTGTAGTTGCTTTTGTAGCACACGGCACTTGATTGTCAAACTCGACGAGAGGCTCCGGTACATAAACCCGGCCGTTCTTAGACCAGTAGCTGCTATATTAGTTAGCAAATAATTGCTCGATACCCAGATAGATAAAATAATAGGTCTGTTCCATGAGCTACTCGTAGTAACTTTGAGTAACACTGTATATACACAAGTGCGTTCCACCTGCAAATTTTTGTGTATTTTCGTGTAAATTTTACTTGTGTTTTACTTGAGTTTTACTACAAGTAGCTCTAGGCCTATTATTTAAGTAGATAGAAGTAGTTATGTTTACTTGACCTCATAAGCCAATCGCAATGAAATATCTCCATGTTTCGGATAGTCTCCGTGTTTTAATAAAAATATGAACTCAAAGCGTGTTTTTTTTATATCCATTTACTACGTATACCCAGTTGGCATTGTTCTTGTATCTCTTTTCGTAGAGTGAATGTTATGTGCTAAGATAAAGATGAGTTGATATGTGGTGGCTGAGAACTAAAGGAACTATCTTCATGTTTGGGATATTCTCCGTGTTTCACACAGTTCATATGTATGTTTTTTTTAATTCCATTTATTACGCGTATCCAGTTGGGCTTGTTCTTTGTGCAATTATCAAGTGATACGAACTTCGGATAGTTTAGAAGATAATGTTATTAAAGATACTTAAGGCTATCTATTATTGAGGCTGCAGAAAATGTGTGTTCTTTCATATAGTTCAGAGTCATTTAAATTAATAAAAAAAAAACAATGTAAAGACAATAGAAGCGTTAGTTACACTTTAGCAGTTAGAAAGTGCGGTGAAAAGGCTAAAATGGATACTGCAATAACAATCGGAGCATTTGGGTGTATGTACCAAAGTCACTAAAGCTTACACGTCAAGACGGAGGAAAGTACAAGCTACAACAACGACAACAACAACGTCAACAACAAACATCTTCCTTATAGCTTTAAGTTAATTGAAACCATGCTTGTTAGTTTTCAAAGACGCATATGGCACCAGCCTTTTACCGCACAACTACCGGTGCAATTAAAGGACAAATATAAATATATCACACGCTTAACACACCCCGTGCCGAAAAGTCAAGGTTGTGTGATTTACTTTGCTGTACCGCCTGACCTTGCTACTGCAGTGCTACGGTGCTGCTTTCGTATAGTTTTTTCTATTAGGTTTAGAATTTACGAGAGCAGTCAGTTCTCATATCAATATTATTTTTGAAAAATTTATTATAAAAAATAATTGTTTTTGAATGAGTAATATATTTTATTGTTAATTTTGTTTTGTAACTTTAATCATAATATTTGTTTTTTTTTTTTTAATTAAAATTTAATGAAATCCTTCTTCAGAAAAGCACAAGAAAGCAATTTTCCTTGTAATTTTATTTATTCTCACCACAGTACTCACGTGCTTGTTTATTTTGTTGTTGCGTGGTTATTCTTTATTTACTCGCATTTCGTCCTTAGAACTCACATTCATCACTGACAACTTTTTCTAAAAATAATTGTAGGTCATTTAACATTTTAGGCACTTAATTGACTTTGTTAACAAAGCTAAAGGCAAATCACTTGAACTTCACAGAAAAGTCGTAGAAAAGTCAGTAGTTGTGCATGCAGTTGTTGTTGTTGGTTTCCGATGAAAGAACGCGCTTAGCAAAGCAAATATTTTTGTTTTGCAATGAAAGAAAGAATTTGTTTGTGTATTATTACTTTAATTTAAATTGTTTAAACATTTTTTAATATGTTTTCACAATTTCAAAAGGATTTATTTTTTATTATGATTTATAATTTCATTTAAAATACACACTATATGTGTATGCCTGAACATCTGCACTGTCTCTTTTGAAAACAAATTCACATTTATAAAATTCAACTTCAACTGAGATTAATTGTAATTTTATAACTGCAATAGAAGTGTTTAAACATGAAAATATTATATTTGTTTGATTTCGCGGCAAATTCGTAACTCAATAATATAACTTTATTATTTTATGGCAAAACGAAGTACTCACACAACCTCTTAATTCAACTGTCAAACTCGTACTGTTGTCATTTGTACCGTTTGAGCGTTCGTAGTCGTTCGAATTCTAACTGAAAAGTTCTGCATGTTATCAACGTCCAAGTTTAGATTTTCAATTACATTGAATTTTTGTTTTCTGCTCACATATGACACTTCATACAGAGCGCAAGTGACGTCACAAACGTATGCAAAGCTTTGCAATAATCACAACTTAATATATGTTTTAGATACGTTATAAAGCTTTTTATATTACAGTTATATTTTTATACTGCAGTGAGCTTTCATTGTTGTTTGCTGGCTGTGTTCCTGAGTAGCAGTTAATGTGGTTTTAACATATACAGCATCTTGAAAAAGTTTTTGTGTTAGCTTTTTATTTTAAAACCGTCAAGTGGTAAGCTTTAGCAAAAGCTTTTTGCAATGCACTGCACACAGAGTACTGGAGAATGCTTTCAGTTTCAAAGATTTGAACGACAGATTCGTTTAAATTGCTTGTTTGGAAAGTAATAAAGTTTATTTTGTCACAAATAAATCACGGTTTCATTATAATTAGGGTTTCATTAAGATTTTATTAAATTATTAATTTCACATTTTAGATAATATTAATAATTCTAAATTACGCCTATTCTGATTTACATGGGAATGGGAGTTTTTTCTCTTTTCCCAGTTCCCCTTTTCTGAATCACATGGGAATGGGATTTTTTCCCTATTCTCAATTAACTTATTCTGAAACAAATGGGAATGGAAGTTTATTCCCTATTTCGCACAAAATTTCTACCAAGGAAATTGTATGGGAGATAAGTTAAAAAAGAGTTTAATTTAATATACCATATAAGTAATTTTTAATGATTAGATTTTTGAATATACTTTAATAAAATTATTATTATAAAATTATTATAATAAATGTAATATTTTTAAACTTTTATTTTTTTATTTTATCTACACGGGTTGACCAGTTTTTCGAATATATTTTAATTAAATTATTATAATAAATTTAAAATATTTAAATTTTTATTTATTTATTATATCTATACAGGTGGACCAGATTTTTGAATATATTTTAATAAAATTATTATAATAAATATAATATTTTTAAACTTTTATTTTTTTATTTTATCTACACGGGTTGACCAGTTTTTCGAATATATTTTAATTAAATTATTATAATAAATTTAAAATATTTAAATTTTTATTTATTTATTATATCTATACAGGTGGACCAGATTTTTGAATATATTTTAATAAAATTATTATAATAAATATAATATTTTTAAACTTTTATTTTTTTATTTTATCCACACGGGTTGATCAGTTTTTCGAATATCCGATATATCCTTATGACCAGGAACCCAAATGAGTTGAACCTTATTCGCCAAGAGGACTACGAAAATATATTACTAGTAAAGAAAGGATAAGTGAAGACAAGATAGCAATTCTGAAAGACTGTAAGTGAATTAAAGGAAGAAGCAAAAAGAAAATAGAGTTGAGAATTAACATTACTGGAAAGAAAATGATATTAGAAGCAAACACTTTAAGTTGCTTAAAAAGATTATCTAAAATATGTAAATATTATTTTATATATGATAGAAACAAGTTACGTATACTATAAGTTGAAATATTTTATTAATATTGAAAATATAAGTTAAAATATGAAAATTATATTTTTTGTGTAATATATGGTATAGTTTGAAGTGTAAAATATATAATTTCTTTATATATGTTCTTAAGTATGTACTGTATTATTTATTTTGTATAAAATATTTCAAGTTTAAACAAATTTTTATTACAATAAATTAATTTATAAGCTCAAAATTTGCTTATTAAATAAAAGAAAATATACATTTAACATCTCAATAAATAATTTAAAAGGATTTCGCATGTATTAACCACATAATTCAATTTATAGTCTTCCTCCATTTCCGGTTCCTCATTGTTTTCATTATTACTACCATTATTTGATTCAGAGTACTAAGATAAATCGACCATTATTATGCACAATACAAACGCATACTATTATTTTTATTATTTCAGCCAAATTTATTTGCTTCGCATATTTTCATACTTTCTACTTACTGCTGTGAAGCATAGGGCCTTAACGATTCCTCTAAATCGTATTCTGTTGCTTGCTTCTCTCGTGATTTGGTTCCAAAGTACTGTGCATCTTTAGACTTCTGATCCACGGTTCTTCACCTTGACTTAGCTGGGGCCCCAGGACTGCGGTAGCCTTGTGGGTTCCAACGTAGGGCTTACTTTGTTGTGCAGAATGATGTTTTCCTGAGCGTATGGCCAATTTACTTCTATTTTCTTCTTTTGATTTTAGTGGCGGTTTGTGTTTATTCCGTGCGTTTCTAGAGATCAGTATTGGATATGTGCTCTGGCCTCCATATTTTCAGTATTGTTTTAAAGCATTTGTTTATGAATACTTGGATGCGAGATTGCATATAGGCCGAGTTTTTTCACGTTTCGCTTTCGTAATACAAAGTTGATTTGACGTTCGAGGTGAATATATGAAGCTTATTGCGAGTGCTTATTTGATTAGGCTACCACACATTATTTAACTGCCCGAAAGCTGACTTAGCTTTACTCAGTCGGGTTGAAACGTGTTCTTCAGCGCCACTTATATCCGTGATGATGCTGCCCAAATATGTAAATGATTTAACGTGATGAATTGCATCATTACCAATTTTGATAGATAGAGGATTCTGCATAGTGCAACCGCTGCACATGACTTTTGTTTTATCATTGCTTGTGTGCAATGCTGTCCGGCATTGGACAGGAACTCAGTTTGCCAATTTTGTTTTGTAAGTCAGAACTTTTATGACTTAAGAGACAGACGTCGTCAGCATACTCAATATCGCCAAGTCTGCTAAGAGGTGTCCATTGTATTCCGGTGCTATCGCTTTATGCAGAACACATGATGTCATCCAATGCTAAAATCAAGAGTATTAGTGACAGTATGCAAACTTGTTTTACGTCAGTATTGACCTCAAAGGATTCGGATAGCAGTCCACCGTGGCTAACACTGCGGTAGAATTCGTTGTACAATGCTTTGATGATGTTTAAATTTTGACAGTTTTGATAATCTTCGAAAATGATTTTTAATAAACCGAATTCATCAACTATGATTATCCAATCTCGATATGTGGAATCTTGTATGATGAATGACGAGTTTGGAAGTAATTCTTTATATCGTGACTGTGCTATTCTATACAGATTTGACCTCAAAACTCTGCAGTCGATGTAAATTCCCAGTTTCTTCGTAAGTAACTCCAATAAATTTTTTATTGGATTCTACAACGATACTCCAACGGACGACACTATTGCTGCACTCACAACCACCAAGACATCCTTTATACAGTTTTCATATAAGTATATATAGTTCAAAATTCTAGTAGAATATACCTCCAGATATTGAACTTTACTTTACCTTATGTTCTGAAAAATGTATAATAAGTTAAATTTTTTTAACATTTTACCTAAGTAACTTGCAGTGATCCATTTATATATTATTATTTATTTATTAATATTATAAATTGATTAAAAAATCAATTTGTGTGAAAAAATTAAAGCTGTTGCTTTCAAAAACTGCATGATTTGAATTATGTCGACGGCATCTGCTTCTTGTCTTGAGGAGCTTGGAACTTGAGCTCTTAGCGAAAACGCTAATAAAATTGGTTTAAAAATTAACTACAACAAAACGAGGTTAATTGTTTCTGCTACCTCGAGAGCATCGTTACAAAGAAAGAAGGGACCGAAGAGGATCTTTTAGCTCGCATTGCGAAAACCCGTTGTGCATTTTACAGAATAAAGAAAGTCTGGTCCTCAAACTTTATCTCGCGTCGCACTAAGTTGAAAATTTTTAATACTAATATCAAATCAATCCTTCTATCCTTCCTATATATGGAAACTTGGAAAATCACAGAATGCATCTTACAGAACGCATCCTTGCGTGAATACTACATGGCTCACTGCAGCTCTTTCTGGTCATTGGAGTATAGGAACCCACGCGAAAAAATTGCACATTCATCATAATCATCACTGAACATAACTTCTGTAAATGCCCGGCTTTGACATCCAGAAAAAATAGGGTTCTAGTAAGATAATTCTTTGATAGTTTATCAGACTGTTCATCGGTGCAGACAAGAGACCCATTAAATTACCTTAATTCGACGGGATAGATTTAGTTTCTCCTCTTCTATACTAAGGGGTTTTTCAAAGAATATGGTAGCAAAATGTCGAAAAATCTCTAATTGAGGTACATGGCAGATAACAAAGAAAGAATTTCAAATACGTATATTTTGGTTAGGATATAGATACGTAAAGGAAGTGTGAAAAAGACTATGGTTCGGAAACGAAAATGGATTGAGGATGGTTGGGATCCATTCTTCATAAGAACCGGATCACACTGCTGAACTACACTTTTTGCTTACTTGCAATTAACTATCAATAATTACTTTCTGATAATTAATTCATATCTATCGCAATGTTCTGGACAGCACAAACCTATCTAAAAAGCACGCCTTATCTTCAAACATAATTTTGATTTATTATCCCATGTCAATTTAAAATATTACTTTGAGCATACTTTAACGGTAAGGCATATAGGGCATGCTAACACTATGGTAAATCCATGTTCCTATATCAGCGTTTAGAAAAGATACCTGAGTTTTCTCTAATTATTCTGGAGTATACTTGCATAGATAACCATTGAATTTTAAAATTTATAGTTTTAAACTATAGTTGAAATTTTAAACTATAGTTGATGTTAATATCGATGATATATTAAAAATGATGACAAAAATATATTGCTAAAAGTGTGTTTAAAAAAGTTTTATAGCGAATATTCTGCAGATTTGACAGCAAATCGTTTTTGGTCTCACGACCGTTTGGGTTTATATATGAATTATTTGTCTATAACGACTAATTCGTATGCAGTTTTACTGTATATAATGAAATATAACTAAAAACTTTTTTTCGATGATGGGTAAAGAACACATCCCATTACAGCAAAAACAAGGGTCTCTAACTACCAAAGAAAGTTTAGAACAACAAAAAATGTAGATGGGAAATACTTTAAGTTATGGCATAATTAAGCTTAAACGATCTTAATTTGAATATATAATAGTACTTACATATATGTGGTTAAATGCAAGCAATTACTAAATCCTTGTATCATCACTGACACTGAAATCTGTGTGGAAAGAATGCTTATACAACGAATTTTAATGTCGATATGCGTAAGGTACTTAAGAGCTCAAATATGAACCAAATACTAATTTTTAAATGCAAAATATTACTGATTAAATATTACATTATATAAACAGTAAATGCATTTAAAAATAGTCTAAGATAGTTTTTAAGGCACAAGATTTACCTTAGTTGCAAATTAAGCTAAATCGAATATAAAGATAGGTTGGGACACAAAAAATTTATGCTATTGTTGTTATTATTTAAAATAATTTATTTATAAATATTGTATTCATTGTTATAGTAATTTAGTTTTTATAGTAACTTACCATAATACCTATGTAAAGTAATATTAATTTTAATATACACTATAAATATATTGATCCTTATTATTATCCTTACTATGTTTTGTTGTTTTGAATACTAAATCACAATAATATATTATTCTTATACTTGTTACATTTATTAATTTTGTAACAGATGTAAGTATTTATTACATCATATTAAAAAAAAATAATCGTATTTATTATAATTGTTTATTTTAATACACAATTAGTTTCCTTATACTATTTCATTGTAATACCATTCAGATTGTTATTGAATAAAGGTAAATGTCGGTGAGCACACTAAGTAAATATTGTATATTTTTGTTCAATACGGTTCGTATTCAATACGGTTGGTCTATTCAATGACGCCACACTATATGCCTGCTCGATTTCTAGTAAATAGTCACCGCTATTCTGAATCACATGGGAATGGGAGTTTTTTCCCTATTTTACACAAGAATTTCTCCCAAGCAAATTGTGCTCAAGTGCACTGGCTCAAATAGCTTCAACATAATAATAAATTAAAAAAAGAGTTCAATTTGATATGTAAGTAATTTAAATAATTAGATTTTTAAATAAATTTTAATAAAATTATTGTTATAATAAAATTATCATTATAATAAAATTATTATTATAACAAAAATACTATTATAATAAAAGTATTATAACAAATTTAAAATATTCAAATTTTTATTTATTGATTTTATCTACACGGGTTTTTTAACAAATTAAAGCGTTAACTATTGCTATTAAAAACAATAGAATAATGAAAGGAACCCAAATTCTATAATGAATGGGATTCCTAGAATAAGTTAAAACAATCTTTTTAATTACGCTGAAGAGGGGGTGTTTTAATTCGTATACTAAATATCAATTTTAGGGAGTCGGATACACTATTCCGACTACGATCGGTTTGACGGTGCAGAAAGCATTCCACCTTCTCACCACAAACAAAAACAAAAAATAAACAAAAAATAAACAAAAAAAAAAAAATTACGCTCAGGTATTGAAGCAATCTTTTTTTTTGTACTTGCAATCTGCACACATCATAAATTATTATTACAGTTAATTAATTAAAGAACATTTTTATCTTAATTATAAAAATAATTATCGATCATAAAAATAGTGGAACTTAAAGTTCAGTTAAAACGTCAATAATTCCAATTAATTTTTTTCTATTGTTATGACTATTTACATTATAAACAACAATAGCTTGTATCTGATCAATAACATAAACACATAAATAAGTAATTTTCTAAACAAATTACTCTACATTCTAATTTGATGCCATTTCAGCGACATTTCGCCGTTTAGTCGTCTTGGTTGTCCACACGAGGTTATGATGTTAACAGCTTCTGTGTGTTTACATGTTGCTGTTGTTGCTTTCTTTTTTATTTCTTCAGCGACTGTGGATAATTTTAGATCGCGGTGTATATCGCCGTTCCTAATGTACCTCGGCGCTTTTAAAAATTGCAGTATCATCTGCAAATGCTGCAATTTTATTTTCAGGTGTTATTGGCAAGTCCATACTGTAAAGTAGGTGTAGTAGTCGACCGAGTACTCCCCTGAGGTACAACAGCTTTTATCGCAGATAAATTTGAGTAACAGTTTTCGTATTTTACATAAAAAAACCTCATGGTAATGTAAGATTTCAAAATTGGAACATAAAACGTCCGCAAATATGTTTCTAGTTTATTTTGAAACAAAGCCACACTTTGTCGAAAGCCTGTGCGACATCGAAGAATACAACAAAACACACTTTTTTACCCTCAATACCCCTTTCAATTTCATCGACAATGCGGTGTACTTGATCTATAGTCAAATGCTTGCCACGAAAACCAAATTGATGGTTTGGTAATAGCTTTTTGGATTCTATTATAGGCATTAGTCTCTTGTAGAATAGCTTTTCAAAAAGCTTTGAAATGGTTGGTAAAATTGAAATAGGTCTATATGATGATATGTATTCCAATTGATAAAGAAGATATTTTACTTTGTTTGATTGTTTATAAGAAAAAAAAAATTATGTACATATTTAAAAAATGAAATAAATAATTAAAATAAAAGTTTTTTATTATTTACTTATAAAGTATTCATTATATCATTTTTGATATTTTGTGCTGCAGGCAAACAATGCGGTTTTAAAATTTAAATCAACATATGATTCGCAAATTTTTTCATTTGTTTGTCTTGGTTAACATTTATGTACTTTTCGCTATTAAAAAATGCAAATGCTGCCAATGTTCAAAATAAATTTTAATTTTTTTTTGTTTCCACAACAGCTGTCTCTCAAGCAATTCAGAAAAAAAGAATTCTATTCGAGGGAATAGTGCATTTTAGGAAAAACTTATTTCCTGGAAGTATTCAGAACAGGGGTGAGTCTTAGTTTATAAGTAATTCGTGCGGTACTCTGCACAGGACTTTGAATGCATTTAGTGTAGAAATAGAGAAAATATGTCGACTATACATGAAGTTTTTAAATAAAATAACTGTAGAATTTGAACTTAAATAAATAAGCATTTCTAAAAATATAAATGAACTATATAGTTAATAGAGAGTTGATAATGTGTTGTAAAAGATCTATTTGTTTACACAGTATTAGTTTTGGCAAATCCAAAAACAACTATTTTAACAATGCAAATACTTAATGTGTTACTATTAATTTTTATGACTAATAGTAATGATATTATACTATTATAGAAAATAACTACAGTATATTACATAGATTGTTTAATATACAGGGTTAGGCGATTGAAGTGTTGCCAAGTGCACACAGATATATTTGTCAAACTGATATTGCCAACTACGTGAAATTCATACAAATGACAGTTTTTTATATTGCTTACAAGCTACCATAAGCTACTACAAGCATTTGCGTCTAAGTTTTATAGAACAAAAGTTATTCGAATTGTAATTCAAACGTAATAGGTTGATTGCGTTATATTTGGCTGGATAATTACAACCAAATATTACTCGTGAGCTCAAACAAAATTAGCTCAAAATGAATAAAATGTTTGTGTATCGTACCATAAATCGTTATAAAAGTATAGGCAGCGTCGCCAAACGCTGTGCTGATGAACGAAAAAAAAAGTCGATGGATGCTCTCCAATCGTTTTCATCGAGTGCAAGACTCGAAATATTTTCGAAGTTGATTTAGAGCCGTGGGTGCGCACGCAAACATTTCGGTCGGCGTCCATGGACGTTCCACCAAGAATGGTTATAAAAAATTATGTTCCACACTTCAATTTCATTCACACGAAATAAATGGCATTCGAATTCGTCAGAGGCAAATCCGATGGACTATTCCATGTGAGACATTTTGAAGAGTAAGGTGAGTATTAAACAACCAATCATGGATGCGCTGAAGAGAGTCAATGTTTAGGAATGGGCCAAAATACCGGAAGATCACATTCGTGAAGTAAGCACTTTATTTTTTAATCGGTTGAAGGCCATGGTCAAGGCAAAAGTTGGCCACATCGAGCTTAAATGAATGGATTCTGAAATTTTGATTATTTAATTATTTCTACAAATTTTGTAATCTGAATCAATAAATAATAATTTCACGCAAAAATGATATGGTCGCTTGAATAGGTAACACTTCAATCGCATAATAACATCGTTAAAAATAATTACCATTACAATGTTAAGGCATTTGCAGCTGTATCTATACAGTGTTCAAGATCCTGCTATTCAGCAGCAGCTTCCTCAGGCTTTGTTTCGCTATAAAATCCCAAATTGATAACTTGATTGAAAAAGGGTTTGCCCACTTCATTATTTTTAATGTAACCGTTTTGATTAGGTGTTACAGAAGACGGTGCACCTTCATATCTTTTAACATCCATATTTACTTCTGTACTAGGTAAATCTGCTACGGTTGAACTTACAATTGCATTATTCTCATCGGTTAGGGCTGATGGATTTGCGGCTTTTTCATGACTTTCTTGGCGTTCATGACGTTCCCGATGTGATTCAAGGAGACAACGACTGGAGAACTTAATATTACATTTTTCGCATGCATTATTATTTGCTTGGCATTCCACAATGTGCAATGCCAGTTTTTCAGGACGGCTAAAACTAGATGCGCAGTATGTGCATTTGTATAAAGAATCCAAATGTAAGGCCATATGACGATTAAGATCAAATTCTCTTGTAAAGCTTCTATCACAGATTGTGCACGATAAATTACGCAGAGATGATCTTTGTACAGGTTTCTGATTTACTGTTGTTGTAGGAGATGAAAGTTCGGAACTAATTGGCAAAGTTGGCATAGATTGTAAACTTTTGCTACCACTTGCAGCGATTTCATTTGTATGGATTAGTTCGGCTTTTGCTTCCACTGTTGAATATTGAGAAGGTGCTGATGCATCAGGATTTGTCATCACTAATGGTTGATTAAGTTGACCATTAGTGAATGAATTTTGGTACCTGGTATCATGGTTAACTAAATTGTTGGCGTTGCGACGGTTGTGTACGCGTTCGTGCAATACCAATTTATCTTTACGTGTAAAAGATGCTGTACAGCGATTACATTTATATGGTTTAATTTGTGCATGGGTACGCGTGTGGCGTACTAATTCACCTGTTGATGGGAAGGAACGTGGACAGCGCTGGCATACATATGGTCGTACGCTGCTATGTATGCGCATATGTTTTGTTAAATTCGTGTTGCGCGAAAAGTTTTTGCCACATATATGACAAGTGAATGGGCGTACACCGGTATGCACAATGGTATGTTTTTTGAGGTCTGAGCGTCGGCCAAAACCCTTACTGCATTGTGCGCATATATAAGGCCTTTCAGAATCGTGCGATTCCCTAATATGTGTGATAAGCATTTGGCGATTTTGTGAACTAAACGGACAAAAGTTGCAAGAAAATGGGGCATCTGGATTATGCGTTAGCTCATGCTGTGCACAGTCTTCAGTTGCTGTAAATGCCATATCGCAAAATTGGCAAAGAAATGTGTTTTTTGGCGAAAAGCTTTGTAATAGCAACTCGTTTTGTATTACAGTGGCTACACCGTTAGCTTCGGTATTTGTCTCAGCAATATGTTGTGGTACACCGCCATTGAATGGTGTTAAAGTTTGTTCACCTGTTTGCTCCGTAGTTGTTTCTATATCAGACTCCATGGAAAACTCATCATCAGTACTGTCCTCTTGATCTGGATTTACTTCAATGATGTGTTCGTTCGGACCTAACACAAACGTCCCCGGATTGTCATTCAAGCCATCGCGTTTGGTCATATCATAATTGAGCAGCAAATCAATATTCCTTGCACGTCGTTTTAACTTTAATTCGTTATTTATAATCTGCTGTCGAAAATTGGCATATGACTTAATTTTTACTATACAAGCCTGACAAATCAGCGATGGCATATATTCCTTCTTTTCAAACTGCAAATAAATTTTATATATATTTTATTAAAACTGGTAAAGTAAGTTCTTACCCGAAATTGGAAAATTACTTCCATCCATTGTATAAATGGCCCCATGTTCTTATTATCGTCATCACTTTCCGGTTCCAAAAAAATATCTACCATTGTGTCGTCTCTTGAGAAACATATGCGACAAAAATCAATGCTCATATCGAGATCTGTACGGCTAGCATAATTATTACTCATTTTGTTAATGTACTACGTAATATTCCTAAAAATTATAAAAAAATTTTAGTGATTTAAATTAGTTGGCAGAAATTTTAAAATCTCTTTCGCATGTAAATGCAATGTTTAAAAAGATTTATTTTGGCGGGAATAATCTAAAACAAATACCTTCTTAACTTACTTAAACACGTTAAATCACTTTATCATAAACAAGCGCACTTTAAATCCGCAGAGCTTAATAACGCGACTATTTATTTATTTCCTTGATGTTGTCAAGCTGTGACAGGGTTGCATTACGCTATAAAAGTATTGAAATGGTAAAATTGACACTTTAATATAAACAGGGTTGCAGATTAGTCTGTTTTTCCATATTTATAAACTTTAGGTGCTTTTAGCAGCTTTTACGTTTGGGAGGAAACAGAAAGTTGCTTAATATAGACGCTAAGCGAAATATTGGCATCACTGTTGCGATCTATCATATGTTATTTTTTCACAAAGAGCAAAATAATATAAAAAAAATATGTATATATAAATAAATTAATTATATAAATAAATAATAAAGCTTCAATTAAAAATTAAAATGAATAATGAACTAAAAGCAATGTTCAGAATGCAGAAAATTTCGAAATAAACAGGTATATACTTATTAGCAACTAATATATTAAAAATTTTTTATTAATAATACTTTTTTCACGAACTTCGAATAATTTTTGTATATATTTATATGTACATGTTTAAAATATTTATTTTCCACAATTTTACAAATTTTTATAATATTTCATATCTAAAATTTTTAAATTTGTAAAACTTTTTAATTTTGTTTGAATTTTTGTTTACAATAAGCCTTTTCGGTGGCTCGCAAGTATGACAAAAACAGCAAGTTGGGTTATACTGACCGAAATGTATGTAAAACAACAGCACTATTTTCTCCACCACGGCCAAACAACTCGGCCTGTAAAAAAAAGTGTTACCAACGTTATAAATAAACTATTGTCAACCTTCATTGGAAATTCCAACGAATATTGCAATCATATTTCAGAAATCAAATGTAAACAAAAAATCAAACAAAATTCAAAAATTTTAAATTTGAAAGTTGGGAAAAAAGAAAAATTTCAGTGTTTTATTTAGAAATTTTCAACATTTTTACCATTCCTTTTAATTCTGTATTCATTTTACTTTTCAATTTATATGAATTATTTATTTTTACAAAATCTAATTTGCTTGCATTATGTACACATATGCATGAATTGCTATTTTTCAAAACATAACATTTGACAGATTGCAACAGTGATGCCAACGTCTCGTGTAGCCAATATAGGCCAACATGCATTTTTTGCCCGACGTGCGAGCCACCTGGAATAATCGTTAAAATTTCCAAAGAACGTTCATAAAAATTCGTTTTGGACTCTTTACAACTAGGTGCTTTGATGTGTTGTTTTGTTGTGTTGCGTAAATTTAAGCAACTTTAGGTAAGAAACTTGCTATTGGATACGCGTAAAAGCTGCTGAAAGCACCTATTATAATAGATATAAAAATAACATATGTAAAAAGGTGTATTGTTTTGACATGATTGCTTCAATAGAACAATTTTTGGTTGCTTAACATTAATTTGGCATCACTGCTTAAATCAGTAAACATATGACAAGTTAAAAAGTTTTTAATAAATTTGTGGTTGATAAATGAATAAATAATTTTATAAATAAGTTTTTTATACATAAAATGAATGACACAAGAAAGTTATTGGTGAGCATTTTATGTTATATTTGAAGTAAAATTTGTATTGATGAGTAAATCAGCTGTTTGTGTTTGAATTTAAATTTTTGTGTTGTTTATTTGCGCGGAACTGGTGTTCTCACCAGATTTTATACAAAGCTGTGTAAAGAGCGTAATTTGACACTTTATTTATGTAACGCTTTCAGTTTTTACTTTACTTGTGTTTTACTTGAGTTTTACTATGAGTAGCTAATGGAACATATCTTTAATATACGAATAAATTCTGTGTAGCATATCAATTTTCGACAGAAATGTTACGCTCTCTCAGGTGTTCTCATTTACTCGAAAATTATATCTATTTATATCTATTAAAGTGTTTACATCAAAATGTGGTTTTTATTTACATTGTTTATAGAAATATTTCGAGCAAAGACGACAATAATAAAATTATTAATATAAGTATATGTTAGGATTATACTAAAATATATAATATACACTAATATCCCGATTTGTATCATTAATTTAGACCGCAAAATGCGGACGCAAATCGAATCACATTTCTCCACATACATAATTTCCAAAAATATTCTGACTTTTGACCACTTGGAGAATTACCTTTTAAGTCATTGAATATCAACAGAACCTTATACTGAATTATCATTTGGCTCAATGGCATTTTTCTTTGATTCAGATTTTCTATCCAGATGGATAAAAGGGACTCCATTTTTACAATTAACGGACTTCTATTTTTTGTAACTTGTTTGGCCTGCAAATGTGTAACAGATTATCCATAGTCTTTTATCTTCTTCATATCACGATACCAAATTGTTCTTGCAGTGTTTGGAGCTAAACCCAGAATTCTCTCAAAGTTAACAATTTTTTCTTCAAGTTTAAAATAATTTGAAATGTCTAACTTTTGTTCCAAGGAAATTTGTTTTCGCTTTAGACTCTTTTTTTCTTTAAAAATTAGAAATATGCCTTTCCACCTTACCAAACAAATGTTAACTGACACCTTTTTACTAAAAATTTAATACATGTAAATCCCCTTTTAAAAAATCGAAACGCCACCGACGCAATTTGAAGCCAAAAAGTTAATTTTTTTGGCGACGTAATTCGAATCGACGCAAATTGGGGTATTAGTATATATTACATATGTATATTAAGTTTATCATATTTTAGTTTTTTATTGATATGCAAATTTAAAATTATATTATGCCGAAATGAATGGAATTAACATAAGTAGGATACTGGCTCGCAGTATAGCGGAGTACTGCAACAATCTCAGGTCTTTTGCGTTACTAACTGATCGCAACTGAATATACATAAGTCACCCAACTTCGAATTAAGACTAATATTGCTCTTCTTGTAGCAAACGGGTATAGGAATTACTGGTCTAGTAATATCCTGTCGGGTCAGAATAAATTCGGACAATGAGAAAAATATGAGATGAGGTCTCATATGTCTCTACTTATGACAATCTGTTTCCTTAGATAGTACTTTTGTTTTAAGATTAAGTTAGCTATGTTGACTCCTTAAATGACTCCTTAAACTTTTTACACTATATAAAAGTGTAAAAAGTGGGTTCTATAGCCCAACTATATAATATAAGTAATGCCTTCTTACAGAGACTTACAGGGCAATTCTGGCAACTATCAACTACCAACGTCAATTATGTAAATTTTTATCAGACATTGGAAGGCAGCATAGTTGACACTGCATACACGGTATATATATATATATATGTACATATGTGTATATATATTCATATTGAATACAATTCGTTTGAAAATTTATGAAGTTGTTATAAATAAAATGAAAATTCTTATAGAGTATAACTTAACAGGATGCTAGGTTTCCAGTGCAGCGAAACAGTACGACCAGAGAATCTAGAGTGCAAAGAAGCGCCAGAGTGGAGATGAAATTATAATAAATAACTTACTAAGCTAGCTGAGTGCTTAGCTTACTAAGCTAGCTGAGTGCTTGGCTTACTAAGCGATCTGAATGCTGGCTTAGTGTTGCCATCTTGATCTAGATCTGACAGACACTAGACGGTCACAAAAAATGAGTTGAAGTTTCAGCAGTTTCTATACAAAGATGATTTTCTCCCACCACTTACGGATTCATCTTGTCAACATCATGCAGTTTAAGATGGTTCGTCATGTGAATATATATTAATTTCAGTTCAGATGTTCCTTTATAGTTGCAATAATCCTCTCTCTTTAGCCTGACTGCTACGCGAAGTGGCGGTGTTGTTGTGACGTCTTTGAAGTAACAGGCGCTCATAAAAGTGTCTTTCCAAACACACTTCAATAATTAAGTTTTTCGCGCAATTAAATGCTTATCTTATATACTAAACTCGTACTATATTATCCTAACTTTATTATTTAAGAAAAAAAAATATTTCTTTTATACTGCGCTTCACAATTCATAGGAATTCTTTAATTAGCACACCTACAAATTTATTGGTAATTGCCTTAAGCTTTTTTAATTAATTTATTTAATTTTTTCTTTCGTTTTCTTTAATTTGTCGAATGAGATCAGACCACATGCTCAATCGACAAGAAACTGCTTCCCATTTCCTTCTTTGAGTCCATGAACAACCAAGTAAGCACTGACACTGCAGTGCCAGCTGAATGCTCTATTAAAATTCAAAGTTCATAAAGTGTTTTTCACAAATTTGTACATCCATCCCGAGTCCTACTCGCATATGCATAAAAACTATCTAGCTACCTTATAAAGTCAGAACTGTGCAGAACAAGGCACGTAAATGCTGCTTGATGGATCGTTAACTGCACTGTGAAAACATTCACGACTAAAGCCATGCGCGCCGAATACAATAGATTGATCGATTTACTTGCTTATTGATGTCAAGTTTAATAATTATGCAATCATGCCTAATGGGAAAAAAATATCACAAATAAAAACAAAAAATAAAAAAAATGAATAAAAAAAGAAACATGTCACATCAGAACCTGAGATTTGTTAAGGAAACCAATTGGCATATTGCCGTTGTTCGTTTTTCGATTCCTAAAGTTACATCAAGTGCTACTGCTGTGAGGCTATAAAATTTATTACAAATAGTAAAATGCCTAAATCAGTCGAATGGCAGCAAGCGTGACTTCCCATCTTTATGGACATGTACAGTTTGGTGTCCCTGGATGATGTGAGCGGCGCATATCTGAAGCGCATCAAGCTTTATATTTGGTAAAAATGTTGTTTAATTGACATTTGCTATAACTCAAAAATTGTTGTCAACAATAATTAATACCTTTTTGCAACATCCAATCATATTTCTACAAGCTTCGTCCAAGATTTCATGACATCAAGTGGAAATGATGAGTTCGATGTATAAAATCTTCAATAAGTATATAAACCAGGAAAATTTTTTAATTCTATTGTAGTTTTAGGAAAATAATATCATTGATTCAATTAAAAAATATTTAAGTCATTTATCTCTAAGAATCAATCTTCCTTCAGAACTGGAGTTTTCAAAGAGGTGATATAACTACAACACATATTCTTTTCTTCTTCAATACATAGATATTCATCAAAA